GCATTAGAAAGCATACTGGTGTACAAGTTATCCAGACATACTAAATGGCAGAAGGTCTATTCAAGCTAAACAACAAGTAGACATAAGATGAATTCTGACATGACATTGCTTTATCATTCAGTGCGACACTCACGTAACACATCCTGCATTTTTTTTTTTTTCCTCCAAAGCCTGTTCTCTGGTCAATATCAGTATTTATATCACTGTTCTTTAGGCAAAGTCCWATTAAACGCTTGATTCAAGTTGGTTTTGTGTCTTATTCTCTCTCCTCTGCCCCATCCCTGCTCAAACATACCATCAATGAGGTTAACATTCCATACTCACAAATTTGTGTTTCAGCAATTTTTTTACTTATGCCCCAGAGTCAGGGAACATTTGACACTGTTTAAGATTTGCAGACATCAGAGCACTTGTAAAAAAGGCTGAACTCTAGGTGAAGCTGAGCACTTCAGTAATTGACCATATCCATTTCCAGCACTCTTCATTCCAGGGAAGACTGCCATCTGAAGGCAGTGAATCAGCCTTAGCTTGGCAAGTCTTTTCAGATGCWGAAGATATCATCGTAAAGCTTTATGTACAGGATTTGTAAACTCAGCACTCAGCTTGTTAGCTGAGAAATTGCTCCTCAGAGCAGCAGAGAGGAGAAACCAGCCAGCACCTCATCAACCACTTGGGATTCGAGGGACGCAGGTTTTACTGGACAGTGTGTTACTTGATTYTTGCTTCACACCTCTTTCTCCTTTTCCAGAAAACTAAGTCACCAAAAAAAGACAACTAGGTAAGGAAGGAAAAAAGATAACTAAATGAATAAAAACAGACAAACACAGGAAGTTCCGTCTCCAGGTGARGAGSAACTTCTTTACTGTGAGGGTGACAGAGCAGTGGAACAGGCTGCCCAGGGAGGCTGTGGAGTSTCSTTCTCTGGAGGTCTTCAAAACCCRCCTGGATGCCACCCTGTGCCCCRTGCTCTAGGTGTGCCTGCTTGAGCAGCAAGGTTGGACTAGATGATCTCTAGARGTCCCTTCCAACCTTGAATATTCTGTGATTCTGTGAAACCACATGCAGTTTGTTAAATTTTCTGCATCTTAGACCCCCTGCATGGGGTACACAATTTTAGTAATTCATTTTCACAATTTTACAGTGTTTAATTCACTGTCTCCTTACCAGATTAAAGGTGCCTCTGGACAGTGCATCATTTATAGACTACAGGGACTTCTTAAATCTCTGAAGCACTAAAAGAGCTAGTGGGATTTAAGAAATAGTAAGATTTTGCATATACAGAGATGAACTTTAAAACAAGTCTAAGACACTTATAAGGTGGACATGAAACAAGTATAAGTGATCCAAACACAATAAAAAAGATATATATATACACACATACATTCAAAAAGAAAAATCAATGTGTAGAACTTGGACCCAATTTTGTCAATCTTCRTATCTGACACAAAGGCTTCAGAGTACTAGTTAACTTTCAGATTCCTGCTTTAAAGATAAACYTTTGTCTTCTTTCCTTTTCCTGCTTACAGGAACATGCAGCATTTACAACTGCTTGGCAGCTAAACTCTGAGAAAGGGAGGGCACCCACAGCAAGACACATTTTGCCAGAAGTCCCAGGATGTTCCCATGGATGGATCTCAGGGACTGCCAAAGCAACAGCAGGGTTTGGGCTCCAGATCTTTGGTTTGGATTGGGATCTGACAAAGAAGAAATGAAACACAGCTGACAAACAGCCCTGGAGCTGCAAAACTGTTGCTCGTCATAGGGCTGAGAACTGTCAGGGTGTCTGCTTTTTGGCACATTTCACTCGTTTTGTGGTGACGTCGATCTCTGGTAGTCTATAAGTAAAAGGACTTAGTTCTTAGCTAGTGGAGAACAGCCTTCGTTTGCAGATTAAATGAGCTTACACACAGAGATGTTCTTCCACGCTGGCTCTTCATAAAGGTTTATCAGCTCAAACGCAGCATTACCCAAATATTGCTGCAATTACTGACAGAGGACAGTGCTGAGTCCAAGCTAAGGGGACTGCACAGCCCCGAGSTCCCTCTGTGCTCTCCCATTCTCCTCATTCCAAGGAGATTTTTTCCATCAGCGACATTCCCACAGTCCTGCCTAGCTAAATCCACCTCTCCATACACCTTTGCTCATCCAAGCTAACAGGAATCTTCTTGGATCCGAACACACTGCAAGGGTTAGCAGGGGCATTTTCTTTTTCAGTTTTCCTGGAAACCCCTCTTGTTATCCCAGAGGACAGGGACCAGGTGCAGTAGTAAAGAAGGACTTTAGCTGAAGCTTGGTCTGGAAAGTTCTGCTGTTGTGTCTGCTCCCGGCGGTGAGCACTTGGTGAGATCATCAGCTGTGCTGCTTGGCAGGTTTGCTGCCCCATTTCAGACACCATGGGGTATCACAAACAGCAGCATTTCGTAGAAGGCTCTCAGGAATTTATAAGTCACCAGTATCCTAGAGAAGAGGACCTCTTCCTGGACAGGAAACCTACAGGGAGAGCTTTCTAAACAGCAACTAGCAGAACATGACAAGTTAACCTGGGATACAATAAAGATGAGGTTGTCGGACAGAAATGTGGTACCACACAACTGTACAGGCTGTGAATGTACTGCTCATTTCTGAATACAAGTACTCAAGGCAAGCCCAGCTGGCTATCAAAAGTTGGTCTGAGAAACCTAGACTACTACTCCTTTCTCTTGAGAATAGCTTTCCAATTWAAAAAACTGTACTACAAATGTAAAATTTTAATCTTTTGTGACTACAAGAGTTTCTCTTGCTTGCTTTGTTCAAAAAAGTGAACCTATGATATCAAAGAAATGCTTAAAACCACTTCCTTTTGTTCTCTCATACAGCACAGTGTTATCTGATTGCATTAGAAAGTGCTGATTTACCAGAAATAAGCCCATCTGAGTATTTCAAATATCTTGTCATTTAATTTTTTTAAACCACTGCTGTTATCTATAAACTTTTTTTGACTAAATCCTCAAGTTACACCCCACACTCTATAAATTCATATTCCAAGAATGAATACACACTGTTAATAAAAAACGTTCATGTGACAGATGTGRCAGATGGAAATAAATATAAATTCTTGCCATTGGGGATCGGGGCATGCCTATTTATAGGATAAGGTTGGACTAGATGATCTCTAGAGGCCCCTTCCAACCTTAAATATTCTGTGATTCTGTGATAAGAACAAGGCAAACAAACAAAAAAGCCTTAAGAAGTCATTTCAGAACAAAGTTTTAAATGTTAAAATATTGAAAAAGCTTCAATATTGTCCATCGTTAGTCAATATTATTAGCAAACCATATAATAGAAATATCTAGTGACATTCTTGCAGTCTATTATTCCTATAAACCTACACAAGGGCTTATATACTGAATTTTATATAATATGCCTGTGCTAGTTAAAGATGTCAGTGATGTCTGCAGCCCATTGAGATTATAGGAATATACTCAGCCAGGGGAAAAAAAAAACTAATCTTACAGCATTTTAAAAGTGGTTTTAACATTTCAATTTGAAATTTGAAAAAATCAGATTAAATCCTTAAAATACTGTTATATTCCCTCTAGTTAATATCTTATTATACATATCTAGTTAGCTGCTATCTYCCTAGTTTACAGTTTAGTCTCTCTCTGAAGAACTGGAAAATTAAAGACACACATAAAACTATCCCACAAGAGCAGCCAAACCATAAGAAATGGCTGCTTCTGGCTGAGGAGGCCTAGGATAATTCTTGGAGAGGAAGCAAAACAAAGAAGATTTCCAGCAAATTTTCCCAGAGACTTAACTGAAAAAAAAAAACCAAAAAAAACCCTTCAACCCACCAAACACACACACATGTTCCTGCCAAACCACCCAGAGGCCACCCCTGCACCAGATGCAATTTGCTCTGCTGGGAATTTCTCACATAAGCCCCATCCTATGGAAAAGTTCAATGGACCAGGTTAAAGCGATCTGTCAAGGACTTTTCTAAAGGAGAGGCACATATCAATTTAGTACATAATTACATTCAGTAAGAGCCTTTAAGACAGACACTTTCAGAAAAGGTTTAGCACCAGTTTAGCCAACACAAGTATAAATAAGGAGAAAGTTTCAGCGTTCCCCTCCCTGGGAATCTAAGTGTTGATGAGCACAAACGGGAGAGCACCAAGCAGTACCACGATGCACRTAACCAGTACAGTAAGTCCAACAATATGATTAAGAGAAGCAAAGTTGACTACAGGAAAGACCAGTATTTCTCACATGCACAGCATACACTTGCAGGAGCTTTCAACAATCAGCACCACACAACCCAACGCAGCAAACCAAGAGGATRTCTCTTGGTTTGTACAGTCATTCAGGCATGGAGATGGTCAGAAGGTTTCTAATCCCATCTCCAGCTCCAAGCAGAGCCACCACMAAATTCAGATCCAGTTGTTCAGGGCTTTGTCCAGACAGGTCTTRGAAAACCTCCTTAACCTCTCTGGGAAAACTGTTTCAATGCATAATTAATTGACCAAGGATGTTCAGCAAGTCCAGCAAGGAGCTGGAAGTGATAAAAAGACTCAGCTGAGCCAGGGAAAGGGTACACAAACAGGACAAAGCCTTGCACATAACCATATATGCCCTCACACTGAGTAACAGCTTCAATATCACCCAAGTTTACAGGAGTCTGAATGCTCTGCCAGAGCTGTGCATGTTTTCAATTAAACACAGAGCACTACACTCCAAGGTATAGTCAGGAGAGAGAGCAAGTAAGGGGACAACGTAGATCATGGAACCTGGATCCACACAAATTACATCCAGGAAGCAGCATCTTCTTTCATGCCCAAGGCAACAGAGTACTGCTATAGAGTTCATCTGTGTAACTGTGTTAGGCAGTTCTTGCTCATGGAGTCTCTTATTCACACTGTACCGCTACAAGCTGCAATTTTTAAATTAAATGAATATTGAAAAACCATTTAGCAGATTCTAAATCTAAAGAGTCTCCTTTCTCCTAGATGAGAGCTCACCTTGGGATGCTCGTCAGGTACGTCAGGACGTTCTGGAACTCCTTTTCAGGGATCTCGCTGAAAGCCGGATAATCCGGAAAGGTGATAACAGGGCAGCCATCTCCCCCTCTTCCACCTAAAAAGAAAAAAAACCACCAGGAGACATATTTACAGGTTGCAATTTCACTGCAAATGGAATTACTGAATTTGTCCCATTACCAGTGCAGTGCTTCCCAACATCCTTCCTGCCATTAGGACAGACTACAAGGAGAGGTCAGAACATTAAAAGGATTGGGGCAAGGAGTTTCAAGACAGTCTTCTCAGATTASCTGCAAGAGCTAAAACAAAGCCAAACATCTGCACTGCAGCATGGCTACTACAAAGGTAGCCATCATTACCATCTATATCTTTTCTGGCTTTTCCACTGTTGTAACGAATTCACAAATCCAATGCTTTTAATGCACTTCCCATTCATTTTTAATGCTCTAAAGGGTTTTATTGTTTGTTTGTTTTAAGCCAATGCTGATCTTCCAGGACTTGGGCAAACATATCTYGATGCAGTTCAACAACAACAACTTAACTCTCAGGCAAATATCACAGCTTTGCAAGCCTAATCCTTCTGACACATCCAAGCACTGCAATAGCAGAGTTAATTTTAGCTGTATAAATATTCCTAACACAAATGTAAATTAAGTCCAAACTCTCAGGACCCAAGTATTTTCCTCCCACAGCTTTATTAAAAGCGTTTTTCCAAGCATGGTAACAAATCTCCCTGCTTACGAAACGTTCTGCTCTCTCAATTACCTATTTTTAGCTACAATTAGGCTTTATTTGCAGTATCCCCCTTGGTTAGTTGCTTTGTTCCACTCAACTTTTATAAACAGAACGTGTGAAACGAAAGCAAAGAACAAGGCCCCTGCGGGACCCACTGCGGCCGCGGAGCCCCGGCTGGCGCCTGTCGGGAAGCTCCCAGCCCGTGAGCRCTTGGCAAGGGCCCCCGGAGCCACCCGGCCTTGCCAGAGCCCATTAGTCCGAGCTTTCCCATCCAACGTTATCGTGGCTGCAGACAACTCTAYTCTGTCCTAAGCTGTCGGGGTGCTTGGTTCTTTACTCGTTATGTTGGCCTAATATTTACCTGACAGGACACTTAAACACACATGGAGCTTTAAATGCTGCTCAAGTGCTTCCCCTTGGCAGGGGCTCAGGGCTGAAAACAGTTCAAGGCCAAGTGATCTGAAGGATCATGTATAATAGTATTCTCATGTCCCTATTATATACACTATATATATAAATCCTACAGAATTACAGGATTAATATTGATGATCTAAAGAAAACCCTTTCTGTATTGAAGCTTTAAATACACTAACACAGGCCACTAGTGGAGCAGTTGCTACTTGTAAAYGCGTATTTGTTACCACAAGCTACAAAAAGGCCCTGGAGCATATAAACAACATATATAAAAATCCTAATTTCAACTGCATTTTGACTTAATAATGGTAAAGGCAATAGGCAGGCTCACTGTTTAGCATCCTCTAYGTTTTTAAGTGTCCTGTACGCTGAACTGCGCAGGCCTGGGGCAGCAGGGAATGAGGCACCTTGTCCCCTATTGAGATGTTTGCCCCTCTCTGTAAAAGCAGCACTACACAGCTCATCCCCCAGTTAGCTGGGGGCAAATGGGATCTCTGTCCTTCTCCTGCAACTGAATCAAGCCAGCAGGTAGAAAGTGGGGGGAAGGTAAAAGAGAAGTTATGGACTGGACTSGTTTGTGTGTGTGTTGTTGTTGCTACTGCTGTTTAAGTGAAAGGAGGAAAAAACACCCTCACAAATGAGGAGAGGGGCAAATATTACCTTATTTTACTTTTAAGGTAAAAATTAAGCATCGTATGACAATCAAACCACATATTAAATATTAAGTATCCAGCATTTTAGAAGTATATGCAACCAATTACAGAAAAGACAGAAGGACACCCTGTCCTGATCTCCAAGTCCTACCATACATGAAAATAAATCAATTTGCACAGAATAATTTTGATAAACCACTGGAATTTCAGTGACCACCAAAACATATATTTGAAATATTTATATATATTATATATATGAATTGCAATATTTTAAATAAACTTAGGCCTTTTTGTAAGGTGACTATATCTAGTCACCCCAGAACCACAGCAGCTGGGCAATCATCTTCTTCCCTCCCTCCTCATGAACAGTCCTGAAATTTTAATCACAGTTTTGGAACAGGTTCAACTTCTTTGCTGGCCAAGTTGAGCTCACAATGACACATATGAGCCTACACTCTATTTCTAGCCTTAAACAGTGTTGCATTGATTTCTCTAGCTGGAACTTAGCAGTTTTGTGTGTTTCTAAGACAGCCAATTATCTGAGTTCTTCTTTCCTTTAATCTGTTGGCTGCAAACAAAATCTAAAAGGATATTAAAAAGCCATTTTATTGCTACACAGACATTACGATGACTATACAATGGGAGATGATAAAAACTGTTTAAAATCATCTCTTAGAAATAATAAGCCAATGCCATTTGGAGTGCTAGCTTTTTTGTTTACACTGCAAATAGCAAAGGACAAAGCACCACTTCTTAAGCAAGCATTTAAAAAAATCAAGTTATAAACATTTTGTATGGAGGGATTACTAAGAATTACTTAAGACATGTCTCATAGCACCTAATTGTAAAGAGCACTGCCCAAAAGAGAGGTTTATTGTCTTTCAGCCTAAAAATGGATACAGTACGGAAGCCAAGAGAACTGCAATTTCTATTAGTAACAACAACAAAAAGATGAAAAATTAAGTAATAAAACACACACTAAGTGAAGTGCATCCACTTCTTAATTCTATTTCCATAAGACTTTATTGCAAAAATTAACAACTCATTTACAACCAACTTTGTCAACTTATATAATGTAATATTTATCAAAATGACTACAAAATATCTAAGTAAGTAAAAGGGAAGTTCTTCAGTGTGCGAGTTGCTACAGTTCCAGTAAACTTCCAGCTAGGTGGAGCTGCACGCTAAAGAGAACTTGATTTTTTGGACTATGGGCAGTTTTTCTCTCAGCTCTGAATTTTGGGAAAATGCACATTTTAAAAATCTGTTGAATGTCATTAGCTCCACAGGTTAGGTAGCAAAATGACTTGATTCTGCTTATGAAATAACCACACACAGAAGCGCGTGCCATTTCCCACAACTCACATATAGGCGCGCATATATATGTATACACACACACACATATGGAATAGGAAAGTGAGCTTTTCAAACTAGCTGGACTACTGCGGGGTAAGAATATCGATATCTATATTAGCATTTATTTAGCAATTTATTTTTTTGTTTTAAATTCTGCTCTAACTTTTCCTACCACAATTTACTAAGAAAAAGTTTGGCCCAACACCTTACTCATTTATAAACCAGGAAAATCAGAACATTATTTTTGACAGATCTGAATTAAGAGGCATATGAACGAATGCCTTTTAAAATAAAAACAATCTCAATTGAAAAACACTTATTCCTCTTTAACCTTAAAATTACACTGACAGGGAAAATTAAAGATGAAAACTACAAATCGGCATATTTTAAAAACACACACAGTGTAGAAAGATTTAAATTCTTTCTTTGATATGAGAAAAACGTTTACTTATATTAATTYACAAGCTGCTTTGCACCGAGGTTGATCAACAGTAACCATACCGGGTTACAGAGCAGATTTCCAGTACATTCCAATACAAGGGTCATTATTGCACTGAGATTTTCTTAGCCACAGATTTTCATTTTTTTTTTTAAACCTTCTGTCTCCTCCTGTCCCCATCACCACTGGCAGTGAACTCAGTACGCTGAATATAAAACAACAGTTCAGCTCAAGTCTACACCTGCCTAAGCTAGAAACCAGTAAGCCAACACATATACATTTAGTGTGTTAACTGGGGAATAAAGAAAAAGATCAGGATTGCTCTATATGGCACAGAATTGGGCAAAAAATTCTCAAACCCAACTTGAACCTCCAGGAAACCTCAACTGTCCAAAGGGAGTAGCTTAGCCTGGCAGACTTGTTCTGATCATCTGGACAGAATAAATGACCCTACAAGAGAACTAAAACCTAGAGAGGGAGGCAAAGCAAAACATTTAGAATTATAATCTAAAGGGTCAAGAGTATTAAGGATTTTTAAAGTCAGTAGTTTTAGGACTGTAAGAAGAAYGAGCATGAATCAAATAATCAAAAACACAACAAGTGTAAGGAACTATGAAGAACAGCTCACTTGTATTTCCTTTAATAGAAAGGCTTTGTTGCCTGTTGTGCGCTGCATTCAAAGTAAGCCAAAATAAATATCTTCGGATTCATAGTGGCCAAATATCCTTTATAAATTATATAGCTTGTACTAGTCAAGGAATGCACAACAAAGCTACATAGCTGCCTGCAGACTCCAACTACATTTACTTCAACCTGCACATAACACTTAGAGCTGGTTGGAAAGCAGGGTTTGAAATTTGCTGGTCAAGGACAGAGATGAGGAAATACTTAGGAAAGAAAATACTAGATGCGAATTAAGCAAGCTGTATAAAAGGTGCACATTTTCCAGACAGATGGTCTTTGAAAGGATTAAAAACACAAGAAAATCCTGAACCCACACATGCAGAAAACTCTGCAGTGCAGAAGGAAAATAGATGGTTGCACAAATAGCAACTAGAGAAAGAAAAGCAAGACAGATAAACCAGCGAGGCACACAGAGAAGACCATCTGTTTTGATAACTCTAAGGGTATATCCAATATATCCTAACAGCAGCAACAAAATTTTATTTATTTACTATTACGAACATTAAGACCACGTGCATCASAGTGAAAAAAACAGCAAAGAAAGTCAATTAGTGGGTCAGAGATAAAAACATTAACTTTGGGGTTTAGAAACTTGTAATCAGAAACCCTGCCTAGAGTTTGCCCATGCATTCAATTTGTGTACGCTCACACCTAAGAGCAACAGCTACAGCTGTCAGCATCTGCAGGAGAAGCTAGCAAGCTCAGGACCGTACACTCAGGCATACTTATTGAAAAAGCAGAGCACTATGATAAGTATCTTCTTTCATTTCAAGTCTGTCTGTTACAATCTCACAGGATGAGTAGTGAGGTACTAAATACCTGCAGAGGAAGAGATAGAGAATCAAGTGAACCTCAACTAGACCAAAACACAGACGCAGCAGCTCGGAAAGAACTCTCATCTTGAGCCAGAGAAGATGACTAGCTTTCACTCACTGTTCAAGCAAGCATCCCACAAGACTTAGACACTTCCTATTAGAGAAAGTACTGTATTTCTAAATACATGCAGTATTTTTAATAAAAAAGAGTCTTCTGAAGACAATAATGATTCAGCACACCTTCAAAGAAACTACCTACTAAAAGTATTGGCAATCTCCAATTTTCATTGTAATTTTTTTTTTATATTCTAATAGTCTATTTCCAAGGTAATATACAAATGAGCTAGAGTATCCTTCTTGCACACAAATCACCTTTTAAGGAGCATAACCTGCCAAGTCACTTTCAAGTATAACAGCAAGAGCATATAAATCCTATATAAATTGAGTTTCAATAGACTGTGTTACTTTTTTCCACAGAACCAATAGCAAATCTATTTAGGACAGCATGAAAAAGAAGTTAACCTTTAGTATTCTGTGGGAGACCATTAGAATTAAAAAGAGTCACAAAGTCACCCTAGAATAAGTTCATTCTCCATTCTATTTATTAGAGTCCACAAAAATGCAGCTGTCCTGCTATTTCAGGCCAGCAGACCAGGCTTACAATAGATGCAAGGGTTAAATATTAAGTGCACAGGGCAGAATGAGCAATGGTTGCCCTTGCTAAGCTCTGCTGCACCATGGATGTAATGAGGACTGAGTGTGCTTGTGGCTGTGTGAACTCAGGGSTCTCAGGGTAAAGAAGCTCCAGCTGGACTTGGTGAGATCCTGCCCATCCACTACAATTTTCCTCCTGCCTCCGCAGGACAAAAAAAAAAGTAAAAATCCTGCTTACAGTTGCCTAACAAAGCTGATTCTTGTATAACTCCATCACGTGTAACACAAGCGACTTTTTGCCCCCGGATACGGGGGAAGAACCTAGAAAGTCAAAAGAACAAATTGCCAGAAAAGAACAGTGGCTGAAACACCTTTTCACTTCTCATCATTCAGCTGTCTCAAATGGAGCATGAACATCCAGCTTCATAAACCAAAAAAAGTTTTATTTCTAATTGCTGCCAGCACCCAGTAGAGAAAACAGTCCCTACCACAATCCTGCATTTGGTTTAATTTATGTGACAGGAATAAGTCAGAATTAATGATCAACTGTGAGTACAATGAGACTTAATGAACTGSCTCCCAGCAGGGCAGTATGTTGTTTCACTCCCCTGTGGTCTTGACCTCATGCAGGGAAATATTTAAAGGAACAGGGAATAGAATAGGYTCATAAAGCCCGACTTTAGCCTAAAACAGGTACATCTCCTTTATAATGRAGGGGGCAGGAGAGCACTGCCAAGCTACTGACATTACCCTTCGCTGTATATTGGAGGGAGCACTTTGCCCCCAGCTCAGGCTGTGCAGCAGAAGCTCAATAGGCCTCTCGAGTTGGACCTACCTGCCCCTCTGCAAAGCTCTCCCAGGTGCCCTGCTGGAGCCAAGGGRCCGAGCAGCTGGGCTCAGTCACTGCATTACTTTGGATGGACCGAGTGCAGTAGCTGGAGGACTCAAAACCAGAGCAGCAGCCAGGCTACTGCCCATTCCACACTGCATCAGTTAGCTGGGCTCCAAATCGGTGTTGGGGCTCAGCTGAGAGCACTGGGAAGCACAATATGAAAACCACAGCTCCTTACACTGACTACATTACACAATATTTCTGTGCTAGGATCCTCAGGCCTTCTTTATTTATTTCCCTCCCCACTACTATTCTATCTGTTATTCCCTCCCATTACCCTAAACACTGGAAACGTAATCAAAATTTTAAGTTTCCAATACATTTCTTTCTGTAGATCACTAAATACCAAGTCTTAGCATTCTGTATTTTCAATTAAAGAATAGATTTCTTTCACAGTTTCTGAGGCCTTATACATGAGTCTACAATGTCCTTATACACCTGACACAATGTCCAACCAACACTCAAGCAAAGACTGTAGGAGGCAACACTGTCCTACCTGACAGGTAAGCAAACTGCTTCTTTAACTGGTCCTCAATATCTGCAGCATAGAGGGGAACGATGTCTTGATGCATGATTTCATCTGTGGAAAAAAAAAATAATTCATTGCAAAGTCACTTGATGTAAAATTTCACAGCAGATGTACAAAAGATCCATCCCAGAACAAACATCCAGAACACTGTTCACATTTCCAAAAGTACTCAAGTGTTTGGAGGCTTTTGAGTGCTTTCCAACAAGTGTTTTTTTTTTTTTTTTTTTTTGGCCAATATGTAAATACATATGGCTAGCATTTGGAAGAAGCATAGATGTCACTGAATCTAGTGCTTTAGAGCTATTACATTTCAGGAACGGAGATAAACGGTGAGCTATACATTTCAAAATCAGTTTTTATTAAAGACACCTCAAATATTAAAAAGAAGCAGGAAATATTCAGCCCGGCAAGCCTTACTGAAGCCATCCCACAGCACACACAGGCAGAGAACGTTTTACAGGCATCACACACTCATCAGTAGATTTTTCTGGAAAGAGCAGGAAAAAAAAGAGTGCATTTTATAGATGGATATTCTTAATTGCTCTGCCCAGTGAGAGCCTTCATACTGAATAAACCTCAGTCTCTCTAGCCCGCCAYGCAGTGCCCAAGCACCACCAGGAGGCAATGTGCTTTAACACAGGTAGCTCCYGCTCCACAGCATATCCTCCTCACATTGCAACCAAGCTGCTACCAGGACAGAAAAGCATTTCTCAGTCTATTTTAACCTTTCTTCTTTATTTCAAGAAAGCTACACAACATTTTTCTTAATTTTCTGCACAGGATTTGGCAGGGCCTGCAGCAGAGTAGCTGCATKCCCCACAGCACATTTCCAGAGGTCAAACAAAACCCTACATTTTGCTGACTACTCTTCTTACCACTATAAAGACTTTTAATAGAGCTGCCTCATTCACTGAGCTATGATTTCACCCTTTCTGAAAAGCAGTGAAAAGAATAATAGAGCAMGTTTATGACTTTGCTTTGAACATCTCTGCGTTTGCCATTATGTAACAGGGTTTTCACAACGTGCATTGAATTGATATTATGATACATCCCTGTCTGACACGCAAAACTGACTGAGCACAGTAAAAGTAAGTAGAAATTTAAATGTAATAGAGGGGAAAAAACGTTATCTGCCTTGAAATACAACCTGGTTGAATACGAATACTACTCTGGCCCTTAAGGAACTGACTTGCTATTAGCAGTATCGCTCAAACGCTAGAACCTGCAGGAAGGCCCATTCATGTTTATGAGCTTTGCTCATGTCCATCGCATTCTGAAAAGTCCAATTATTTGGGAGCAGCCAAAGAAAATTTTCAATTGTTCCTTCCACATAAGCAGCAACTTATACTGGCCAMCAGGAGCTCTCTGTTCCCCATCCGGCGGCCCGTGACAGAGGCAGGCTCACGCTTTGTCACAGGGTCACACACTGACCAGGGCTGTTCTGCTGTGGCCGGTGCCYGGCTGCTCGAGCAGCAGACCCCTGCGCACCCCCCTCTCAAACCCACCACGCTGCACTGCACTCTGAGCTCGCTGGCGCTTTCAGCTGTGTCCCCATCCTACTGCTTGCAGGAGGAAACTCAAAATAGATCTTCCAAAAGTCCAATGCCAGATTGCCAAGTTATTTCCGGAAGGRGAAAACCTTCCACACAAAGGAAAAATAAGATTTTATTGTTAGTGCTAAAACTAAAACCAACTGCTGATAATTTAGGATTAGTTTGTTTGTTTTAATAAAGCTAGCCCTTGATTCTTCAAGCTAATGCCTACAGGTAGACATGTTTATGTCAATAAAACCTGCAACAGGGTCAACACCTAACCCGCATTGAAGGGGATCAAAGCGGGGGAAAGAACATACTCATTTGTCATTCTGTCTACAGTCCCAGGCAGAAATCATTTTCATACCTGCACCACAAGCACCTGACAAAACAGACGGTGTGCTTTGCCTGTGTAAATGTTTGGCACAGGACACGCAAGGCAATCCTAAGTCAGGCAAACTCATTACCTCACCCATCCCAGACACGCCGGGATCACGACTTCCTCATACCTGCCCGAGGAAGCAGCCACTGCCCCTGCCTGTGCCATGCAAGGCTGGGAGCAGAAATCAGGTTGCTCCTTGGCTCCCTTCGGCAGCACCGAGAGCTTTTGGAAGCTGCAAGGGGCAGCCTCACCATCTGGGGATCAAATATGACTTCACTGAAAATACAGTGTAGTTCTCATCCACGGTTTAAGCCCAGTTGAAAATCAATTTTAAAAGTCAGCCTGTTGGGCACTGCAAAAGCAGGACACTGCCTGAGCAGTGCAGACCTGGAGATCTSCTTCCTCTTGCACCTTTCTCAGTCAAAGCACAGCTCTGTTCTCCTCTTGCTCCTGCTTAAGGTAACTTAAGCTTCTTCTTATTATATTTTTCTATTACTAGCACATTTCAAGAGGCACTGTCCAGGGCAACACACTATCCTTGAAWATGTAGCCATTTACAGTATTTGCAAACATAGAGCTTACTCTAAATTGACCTGTACTTTACAATACACTAAAAACCAGGAGACCGAGAGCTACGTYGAAGGAAATTAAAAGGAGAGAACAAAGCCATTCAATGGAAAGTCCTTGAAACTGGAAATGCTACCAAAAGTAACRAAGAAATACATCCAAATATTGACTTGAAGTTATTCCATAGTTCAGATCAGTCACAGAAATGTACTGTTTTAGAGGTAATGGCAGTACATGTGTGTTTGTATAAAGATTATATCAAATCTATAAATWTATATAAAATATATATAAAGAATGGAAGGTTAAGCTTTAAGTTAGCTTTGCAACTAGCGTTATCTATGCTTTCAAGAGATATCAAAAGTAAAGGACAAGGTGGATTTCAGGTTAGTCTTCAGTATATATGCAGGCAGCTGGATCAAAGTTTGAAGAGTAGCTAATTTTTAGAAGTGAAGTCTTGTCATATCAAAATATATATATACATGAAAATAAAGACAGAGGAAAAAATGTGTGTGTGTGTATATATACACATGTATAATATAGATATAGTGATCATCTTCTCCTCTAACAAGGACGTAGAAACACTTACAGTTTGCTGAAGATGATCCTTGGGCCTGCCCTAGGGTCACAGAAGATCATTAGAACTAAGAGGGAAGCTGAGTAAGTGACAAATCATTTATCCCAGGAGCACCTCAAAAAGCGTAAAGCAGGAGGCAGAGCCAGGTGCCTGAAAGACCAAATTCAACGCACTGGATTTTTTTTTCTCCTCCTCCTAAGGAGAAAATACATTCTCTTCCAGACTCGGCAGACCGTATTTGCCTCAAGAGGCAGGAACTATTTGTCGGGTCACTGTCCACCCCACGCGCGGTGAGGCCAAAGTCGGCCCGCAGGCCGCAGGGCACCGGGCAGTCCGGCCGGGATGCCGGCGGGCGGCTCCGCCGTGGCAGCATCTGCCAATACCTAAATGAACGGATACCTGGCACCCCTGCCCCTACCAGCCCCTCAGAGCAGCTGTCTCCAGGGACTGAGGCCTCAGCGCCCAGCAAACCGAGCTCCGGGGCCATGGGTTTATGGCGCTAGGTTGTCAGGCAATGCAGGCAGACACGTGGAAATTCTGCTTTTAGACTCGGGTGACCATCTGCTGAGCATGTAAATATCATCCTCATTCAGTGTTAAAGCTAGACTTACTGTTCAAACCTCTTCCAGGGTCCTGAGACGTGAAAAGGAGCCCTAAAATGCAAAGTGCAAGAACTAGTGGCTTAGACGATTGCTATGAGCAGAACAGCAGCTGGTACATTGAGCATGYCCTTGCAGTACTCAGTCTGCACCCAGCAACACCCAAACTGCTGCAAAATCCATCAGAACACATAAAAACACAAGTTTCAGTGAAAGAGAAATCTTTCCTTATGGGTTTACATTACGGGTGTGTAYGAGGACATTCCTATAACACCTTTCAAATAGTTTGCCTGACCACCTACTACACAACACCTGCAGAAGGTCTGCAGTTTAACATGGTTTGCAAGGCCTAGGACACCAAGTTCCACACCTAAACACTTAATATTTACACACAGCAGGCTAGCCACAAGTACAACTGCTGTACTCTACCATCCTGATTAGTCTAAAGTAAATGTTTAGAAAAGCTTTTGTCCATCATGTTGCGAATTAGACGTGCTTGGGTCTGGGTTTGCTCCTTTTTGTTGCAGGATATAAACCATGATTCAGATTTCATATTCTAGGAACTGAATGTAAGGTCACCACTAAGCAGAATGACTATTGGCAACAGTGCTAAAGAGCTCCTCAGCCTTTAAAGATTATGGCATAGATTGACTATAGCCATTTGCCCTCTGGATTTAAAGGTCCTGTGCAGGATCTCGATCATTTGTTTGCACTGCWATGTGAGATTCTATTAAAACGGCAGAGCAAATTCAACACCCAGTTAGGAGTGGAAAGTAAATTCAATCATCAACTGCGACAGTTCCTTATGAGCTAAACTGGATTAAGATGCAAAGATAAGGAAAAAGCCCACAAACCTTTTAACGCATTTGCAAACAGTCTTGCAGGCTTACAAGACTGTGGTCCAGCTGCTGTCACACTTTCATAGCTTCCTTCCTAATATTTACATAACAAAACAAGTGAAGTTCTTTCTCTAGTGTAATTCTTTTCTTACACTTCCAGTGCACTGTTCCCATGCCCAGTGGCTGTTGAAACACCGGGGCACAGTTTCATTATGATGACAGAATTTTGCTTAGCCTTGAAAACAAGCTCACAAGAGCTGAGCATACACGTTTTCAAACCTATCTTTCAGAAAGGGGTCTAATCTCTGCCTATCCATTTGATTAAGTGATCTTTTGACAACTTGGAAGAAAATGGAAACTGCATACAAAAATCAGGCTGCTTCCAAAAACAGATTCATTTTAATGTCTAAATCTCTTCTAGCAGCAAAATTGTCTAATCCTTTTTACAAGGCTGATACAGGACAAGGTCATCAAAGCGGAGACAGCAAGTCTCAGTTTGGGAGAGAACACACCCTGATTTTTAACAGCAGCCTCAGAGAGGAGAGGAGGAGAGGGGGC